AGCCAATTCCCTCAGTACTCTGGGGTGGAGATCATCCGGACCAGCTGATTTGAATACATCCAGTCCCTCCAGAAGTTCCCTGACTAGGTCCTCACTAACCCTTGGCCTAGGTGCACCTCCCCTGGAGTCTAAGTGGGGCCCAGAAGCAGGGTGGTTGTTCCAGTCCCTGCTCAGGAAAATGGAGGCAAAGAAATCGTTAAATATGTTGGCTTTGTCGTCTGGTGTGACAGCCAAATTTCCTAGCATGTCCTGCAGGGGCCCCACATTACCCAGTACGTTCTTTTTGCCCCCTATGTATTTAAAAAAGGACTTCTTGTTGTCCTAGATCCGGGAAGCTAGTCCGAGTTCCATCTCCGCCTTGGCCTTTCTGACTGCCCCCCTGCATCCCTGAGCAACCGCAGTATAATCCTCCCTGGTGATGGCCCCTCCCTTCCATTGGGTGTGCGCCTACCTTTTACCTAGAAGACATTCCCGGATGCTTTTGGTGAGCCATGGGGGCTTTTGTGCCCTCCTGCTCCCTTTGATCCGTGTTGGGATTGCTTCCTTTTGGGCTTGGAGGATTGTCTCCTTAAGGAGCGACCACTCTTCTTGGACACCTGGCTCCCCTCCCCTCCAGGACCTCAGTGCTTCCCTGACTATTTTCCTTAGCTCATTGAAGTCCGCCCTCCTGAAATCTAGGGCTGCTGCCTTGCTGTAGGCCTTTGCCACCTTTGCCCTTATTCCTTTGCCCTTATTCCTGACCTACCTTTTTTTTTTACTTTATGGATCTCAAGGTCTGATTCTTGGCTCACCCTGACTTGGCTCTTACACTTAATTCTGGTTTGGACTCCTGGGTCACCCTGAACTGACCTTGGAACTGGCTGCTGGTCCCCCCCTTACTCTGGCTTTGGATTCCTGGCTCCCTGGGAACCTGTCCCTTGGACTTTACCTGCATGTCACGTGATCTTCCCTGATTGCCCATGCCATGATTCTGAACACACAGTAGAAAAAGTACAGACCTGGCTGATATTTATTTTGGTAACGTTTCCATAGATCACTTCCTAAGACAATTTCTCCACTCCTTTAGGAGAAGAAAGGGGAGATATGGGTGGATAAGAGGCCCCGTCCAAGATATGATCATCACTGTAATGCAAAGATGACAGGTCAACCCCCTGACCCTACTGACTTGCTTGCAGAGGCATTTATTTACTAAGAGTTGGCATTTTCCAAGGGATGCCTTGAATCTAAAAAGTTTGAGAACCACTGCTTGAGAGTATATGATCAGGGCATGTCTATAGTGATCCATCCTTTGTCATACTTTCCCTGGCATCAACTATCATTGGTATAGGTATGTCAGAGAATACATTTGATAGATCCACTGAGAGCTATTAACTAGAACAGTCCCTTATAAATTTGTCTAATCCAATTTTGAACCCTGGTAACTTCATTGGCTGTCCTCTAGTTCTTCTATTGTGGGACCAGATAAATAATGGCTCCCTATTCACTTCATCCACACCCTTTATGATTTTTAGAGACCTCTGTCATAGGCCATCTTGGCCACCTTCTTTCCAGACTAAAGTCCTAGCCTTTTCAATGTCTTCTGGTTACAGCAGCTGCTCTATATACTATAGATTTTTGCTACCCGTCTCTGTACCTTTTATAATTTTACTACATGCTTTTTTTTATGATGTGGAGATCAGAATTGCAGACAGTAGTGAAAATATGGGTGCACCATGTGTCCATGCCCCATTTCCTTCTTAACAGGGAAAAATGGGGAAAGACTGAGATGGTGCTGCTATGAAGAGAGAAGTGACAAGGCTTCAGGACACCCAGAAGGGAATTTGCTCTTTTAATGGACCGTATGCAGAAAGCATTGAAACACTGTAGTGATGTGCAGCAGAATACATGAGAAAACAGCCAGCAGTCGAGACACCTGGAAACAGCCTCAAAGCTTTCATCTCCCCCAGTGGACGCACATTTTAAAACCAAAACTCATGCAACGTTACAGCTGAGAAGAGTAAATGTTTATGTGCAGGTGGATTATGAAAGAAGCCCAGATGTGAGACAGCCAGTGCTGTCTGAAGGGGTTTAGCCAGCCTGCATATTGGGTCCAGATCCTTGGCTGATATAAGGGACTGTTGTACTTTTGAAGCAGTGCCCTGACCACACTGATTCACATCACCTGACAGGGAAGATCCCTTCAATGCCAGGTTTCCAACGCCTGGGGGGGACAGATCTCCCTGGTCTTCATTGCTTTCTTTCATAGTCCTGGCCAACTTCTGGCCTTAAAGCCTGTTTATATCAGCTTTATGGAACTGTTCTGCCTTTGTCGTCATCACCTTCCCACCCTCAGTTTAAAACTAACAAAAGAAAGTTCTCTCTCACACAGCATGTCATTCAAGTGTGGCACTCATTGCTACCAGATAAGCTGAAAGTTTAGCCAGATTCAAGAAGGAATCAGACAAATCGTTGGAGGAGAGAAGCATGGGAGTTAGGGACGCAGCCTCTGAATGAGAACTTCCTGGACCTTAAGTGCTGGAGGCTGGAAGTGAGAGGGGAACAGTGGAAAAAGCCCTGGTCACACACACTTCACTCTCCTTGTCAACATCAACTCTCTGCCACTGTGCAACACAGGCCTGTTTGGTACACAGAAGAGACATGGGCAGGTGCCCATACAGGAACACTTCTGTTCGTAGAGGGGGACTATCAGGTGGACACCAACAAATTCCTTGGGGCAATTTAAAACAAGAACAGGGATGGGAATGAGAGTCAGAGGTAGATAATGAGTGCTTTGAGGGGTATGCCAAGAGCCAGTGGACGGACTCTGCCCGGGGACATGCCAGGATCCGCCCTGGGCACACCCCCCGCCAGCTTGCCTAGGGCCAGCAGGAGGCTGACCAGGAGGTCCCGGGTTGCAGCCTGAGGCTGAAGTGGGTTCTTTCCTGGTTTCTTTCCCAAAGCCAACCTTTACCCAAGTCAAGGTCCTGAAAGGGCCTGGCCCCGCAGTCTGACCTGCGCTTGCTGCAGGATGCTGTTTCCCCTTTTTTTGTTTTCAGTTTACTGGCGAGCACACACTCGGCGGGGCCAGTCCGTCGTGTCCAGACCGGCTGGGGTGGGGGCGAGGGCACGAGAGCAGGCACCGGGCAGGCCCCAGGCCGCGAGGGCGGGCCGGGGCGGGGCGGGGCGG